AGACAGGCTGGAGCTGTTCTTGAGTAACTAATCATCGTAAAGCTGCCCAGATGGTGCTTTACCTGGATGTGCTCGTGAACTTTAAGGTTTATCTCTTCAAGCACTAATGACAGGGAGCAGCCAACCTGCAATTTAAAATTCAACTTGAAAGTGATTTCTGAGGTTCCTTTCCACTAGCTGAAGGAGCTGGGCTGGGGATGAGAGCGGGGGAAGGATGGCAGAGATGGGGAAAGAAATCCGCCTGTCCTAGAAAGTGAAGACTAATTATTCCCCGAGCAGACGCAGACGGACTGGAAGGACTGACGGCAGGCAGACTGGTCCACAGCACTCTGCTCCGGCTCGTCTTCCAGGCGCATTATCGTGCAGGCTTGAACGAGCTCTGAGCGGGTGCAATGGAATTGGCCCACCCTTTCCTGTCAAATGCAGGACAATTAAAGTTCACAGAGATCATCCTCAACAGAGATCGCGCCAGCAGAGACGCAGAAGCTGGGAGGCGCCGACAAGCAAGGTGAGTCGTCCTGCTCTGTTCTTTCGTCCACAGACCTGATGGCCTGACGACGCCTCCCGTCAAGTTGGCCGTGGTTCCGGATCTCGTGAGAATCCTGGTGGTGAGGCTGATGTCCCTTCCCTTCCCAACTAGGGTGACCTTCCGAGGCTCTCGATTTAGCATCAGGCCCGCACTCTGACAGTCTGAATGCAATGGAAAGTTTGCACATTAACACTGAAAGTTCATCGTTTCGTGCCTGCAGCTCCCCCGTCAGTGGTGTGAAGTAGAAAAATATCACTCGATACCAAAAGGCCAATTCCCAATTTAGTTCAGGAAAAAAATCTGGACAACCCTGCATAGACGTCCTCATTCCACTCTGTCTGTTCCTACGGCTGGCCCGCTCATCAGTGGTAGCCGGGCCGGCAGAAAGTACAGGTAAATGCGTCACTGCTCATCACGGCAGTAAGCACCTGCTGGACAGAGATGTCCGAGCTCGGGCCAAGAGCACTTGTCAGCTGACACACCCCAGCAGAGCGGGGAATGGTCCCTTTGCCTCTGCGGAGGAGGCCCTGCTGCTCAGTAGCCACAGGGCCCGATGACGTGGTCAGTCACATATCCAGCCCTCGGGCGTACTGTTGTGTGAGACCCTCTCCTGGTCTATACGACAAGGGGAAACGCCACGTACCCACTTGGGACGGAGCACCTGGCACAGAGCAGGCGCTGAGCTGTCGGGCAATGATTAAGTCATGTACTATACCTTGTAGGTCTGGTCTAGAGGTCATGGTGGACAGCCTAAGTCATATCTGGGTGGCATACCCAGTGATGGCCACGTTCCTTTCTGTGAGAGGCACCAAAGGACAGTTCGGGGACCTGACGCCTTGCTCCCAGTGGTGGCGGCAGGCCTTCCAGCTCCCCTCACGATTTGCCACCCTGTCACTGGTCCTGACCCACTGGCCTCTACTTTTGCTGACTTTGGGTCAACACGTTCTCTGGATTCTAATGGTTGACAAAAAGCCAGTCTCCCTTGTGTCTCTCTCTTTCTTAAAGATTTTATTCATCTATTTGTCAGAGAGAGAGAGAGCGCGAGCACAAGCAGGGGGAGCGGCAGTCAGAGGGAGAGAAGCAGACTCCCCGCTGAGCAGGGAGCCCGATGCGGGACTCCGGGATCCCAGGACTCTGGGATCATGACCTGAGCCGAAGGCAGACGCTTAATTGACTGAGCCACCCAGGTGTCCCTCGTGTCCGTCTCTTTTTTTTTTATTTATTTTTTATTTTATTTTTTTTAAGATTTTATTTATTTATTTGAGAGAGAGAGAATGAGAGATAGAGAGCACGAGAGGGAAGAAGGTCAGAGGGAGAAGCAGACTCCCTGCTGAGCAGGGAGCCCGATGTGGGACTCGATCCCGGGACTCCAGGATCATGACCTGAGCCGAAGGCAGTCACTTAACCAACTGAGCCACCCAGGCGCCCACGTGTCCGTCTCTTGAAGCATCAAGCATTCACCCTTCCAGCCCCACTCACCTTTCCACACTTCAGTACATTTCCTTTCAGCTTTTCCCTCTCAAGACTGAAGAACACGAGTGCTAGAGTCGGGAAGGCCTTAATGGTTGACAGGCCCAACCCTTGTATTTTTCCTCCTGCTTTTAATTAGGGAAAGATTTTTTAAAAAGTATATAAAATGTGGAAAAAAGTACATAGGGGCACCTGAGTGGCTCAGTTAGTTAAGTGTCTGCCTTTGGCTCAGGTCATGGTCCCAGGGTCCCGGGATCGAGCCGCACATCGGGCTCCCTGCTCAGCAGGAGGCCTGCTTCTCCCTCTCCCACTCCCCCTGCTTGTGTTCCTTTTCTCGCTGTCTCTGTCAAATAAATAAATAAAATCTTAAAAAGAAAAGAAAAGAAAAAAGTATATAAAACATAGAGAACAAAACAGCAAGCAACACCTACATACACAATGCCCAGCCGCAGTGAATTATCAACTCATGGCCAATCTTGTTTCATCTATAAAACCTCACCCTCCAGCTTCCCTCTCTCACGGTCACTGTCAGCCTTCATCTTACAGAAGCTCAAACAGGGTGATAACCCAGGAACGGTGGCTTGTCTGGGCCCCCACCACTGGGAACAGGGGGCCAGAATTCAGACCCTGGCCGTGCGTGTCCCCAGCCGCTGCTATAACCACACTCCACCTGTGCTAGTATTAATTTAATATTTTTCTCTAACGGTCCCACTTTTCTGCCTAAATAACATTTGTTTAGAATGGAAACTTTATAGCTTCCTGTAAATGGGAAACAATCATCATTTGTCACGAATGGAAAGTATCACTAAACATGACACAGAGAAAACAATGTCATTAACTAGAAACTCCTGCCTGCCCGAGGCTCTGAACTCAAGGCCGGCTCGCTCTCTCCTGAACACGGAGGTTGGGAGGTTGGCAGGAGTTAGACCCCCAGTACCAACGGAGACCTTCTCAGATCTGCTACAATCAGGAGGATTCAAACAATTAAAAATCCACATAGCCTTCTCCCAAGGTGATCTACCGTTACCATAATTTCACCAGTGGCCCACCCCTCGCCCCCCATTTCAACACCTCTGACAGGTGCTGTCAGCCAGCTGACAGTCACAACATACTTGTCATTTCCACGTGCTCCAACCTGGTCATAGCTGGTCATATTGTCCTCACTGCACACGACAATGCACCCTGGAGTCCCGCGGGGGTCAGTCTATGTACCATTTAAATGTCTTAGAAAAGATGGACAGCAATGGGACAAGATGTTGCTACAGACCCCACATCCTCAATTCTGGATGTTCTCACAAAGCAACAAACAAGTGCCTTACGAGACCAAAGAAGGGAAGAGACACACAAGCCAGTGAAGCCGTGTTCTGGTATGTTCCCAGGGACCGTATGTCCCCTGCTTGACAAGGAGACTCCGGCAGAAGTTGACAGCCCCCTTGGAATAGATGAAAGACGTTTCAGAGCAATGAAAGGCTGGTGCGACCGACTCCCGTGTCATACAGGATTCTCATGAAGGCCTGTGCCGTGGTTTAATGGGCAGCATGTTTTTCTTTCTTAGTGTTAGTGGTTCATGAAATAATGGTGCCTCTCATGAGTGATAATAGCTTGAATGTGACAACCGTGGTATTTAGCCTGGAATCACTGGCTGTATGGAAATGTTCTCACTGCCTCTCATCACATCTCTCCAGACTGGGCACTGGAAGCATGCCCATCTCCTGGAACAGGGGTTCTCACACGGGCCCACAGCAGAGTCTCCGGGGGGCTTGTTAACAATCAGATTGTTGGACCCCACTCCCAGGGCATCTTCTTCGATTGGTTTTTAATCGGCCCCCACGATGCTCCTGCTGCTGGATCATACCTCGAGAGGCACGGTCCTATCCTTTAAGCCTGGTGGGGGTAGGTGGGGAGGGCCCGAGCCGTACCAGAACCCAGGTAGGAACCACCCATTCTTTTGGACATCTCAAGAAGGCAGAGTCTCTCTGGCATCTTCATTGCAAAGAGAGCATCTGAAGTGTAGGCTGGGCCAGGAAAGCTCTAGGAAACTCCCCCTTCCTTCAAGACCTTCACCAGGTCAACGCTTCTTCATATAAACAGGTTATGGCTTTCAGTGTTGGGGTCAAGGCTGTGCATGAACTCAGCAGACTGGGCTAGCATCTGTTCACAGTGATATTTAGGACAAAACATGGGACAAACAAGCCAGGCGTCCCTCTCATGCCTGCTTACATGTGTTCTAGCTGGTAACACGGGCAGATTCCTTTCCCTTTGGTACGTACGTGTGTTACTGCTTTAGCAGAAAGCAACATCTGTGTGCTTTTTTCCTCAAAAAGAACAATCCATTTTTCAAACTGCAAAAACGTCTTTGAAATGGAGTATTTGCCAACACTGTCCTCTCTCCTAAAAGCAAGAAGCAAGGAAATGTGTCCCCAGAAAGAACAAGGTTTTAAATGCAGACATTACTAAGTGGTTTTTTTCTTTAAAAGGCCCAGATCTGCTCACATGTTCACTCAACTGAGTGTAGAAGGTGCTTTAAGAAACAGGAGACAAAGCCTTGTCTGGGGTACAAAAGGTTTACTGCTTATATATATATAAAAAAAATAAGTTACAAAACAAAACACCCAGCGTGACAATATATATGAACATGGGCTCATTCAAATGATAATGGCTCGTGAAAATGACTTAGAACACAGACCCAGGAGGATCAATTCGCTGGTGTTGCTAACATACAAGGAAGAACGTGCTGCTTAACTTTCTTATTCTGAGTTCTAAAAAGGTCTTCTCTGCCTTCCATAAACCAGTTACAGTGTAGAATTAGTCCCATCAACACGAGATGGAATATGCTCTGCAAGAGGCTCAACCTTAACGTACGATATGCTTTAGGAACAGGCCGAGTGGCGGTATTGTGTCTGGGTGGGGAGGATAGGTCTGAGCCATCCGACTGAGGGCTTGTCTGGGAAGGTGCTGGGTGGGGCCCGCAGGCCGGGCTGGGGCTGGGGCTGGGGCTGGGTCACTGACGGCAGGTGTCATGGAAGGCTTCGAGGGTTCGGAAATCCCTCCATGTCGGGGGAAGGCCATCTTGTAGAAACTTCCCGCAGCGCTGGCACGGGGCCTGGAACAGCTTTATGTAACTTCTTAACCAGGTCTAAAAAGAGAAGTGAGGAGAGAAATAAAAGAAATGGGGTCCGGGTGCTTCCAATGTCATCCTTCCTGTCAAACCTGATGATCTCAAGGCCAGAGAACTCAAGTTGGCTGTGACCCAAAAGACGGCCCGTGATTTCACCAGAGTGCTGCATGCAGAATCCACAAGGTCACAACGCGGCTGATTTTCACTTCTGGTGCTCCCCCAGCAACGCCCCCCCCCCACAACTGAGGGAGTTTTTAAGATAGGAATTCTGGCTCTCAGGGGTAGGAAATGCTCCCGAAGGAGTGGCTGTGCACCAGTGCACAGCCTGGGGCTCAGGGCCACACAGAACCAAGTTTCACTCCTGTGTCCCGTGTCTCCTGAAGATGCACATTGATTCTCGCCTTGTTCACTACCGAGGAGCGGGCACGGACACGTGTGGAGGAAGACTTCGCATTGATGACAGTGTTCGAATTCTCCACTGAGGTCAACATGCCTTCTTTCTAATTTGATTTCAGAGGTCATCACTCACTGTCACAATGTGGCCCAATGTGCACCTGGGGGAGGGCGGGGACAACCTGGTGCCATCAAATAACATAATAAGCGGCAAATATACACTTGAGTGGTTCAGAGTGCAGAGTTCTCTCGGGCATCATACATAAGGATGAGACTCCCATAACTCAATTCTCAAACCCAAGGAGATTCGCTACCAAAAAAAAAAAAAAAAAAAAAACCCCAACAAAAAAACCAACTCAAACCCCACAACAATAGGCAAGCAAGTTAAGCAAGTTCTCACTGTGACAGGGGCACATGAATCTCATCATTTAATGTCCTCCTGCATTACGTCGATAAGAGAAAACTGTTCTTTGAAGAGGTAGGTCGAGTTTATTGATACAAATCCTTCTATCACATCACAGCTGCCTTCGTGGTGGCAGACTGGGGCCCATCGATACCGTCCCCCTTCCAAAGGCCAGGTGTTTGAGGTTTTGGCAATAAACTCGAGGAAGTCGATGGATCATTCAGCTGAACTATTTATCCTCCAGTGCTGATCAAATTCAGATCCTCCCCAAATCCCAGAGTCAGTTACCAAAGGGAAACTGGGCATGACAACATGTTAGGTTAAAAAGCAAGACTGTGTATCTGTCCAAAAAAGAAGAGCTTGCCGAAGACTGTCAGCTGACTTGTCCTCTCGACACATGAGACAGCCCCTCATGCGCGGCTCTGCCGAGTGCCGAGGTTTGCTAGCTCGCCCTCCCCAGCGTGGTGAAGTGGATCAATAAGTCGGGTTTGCGTCTTCCAAGAAATGAACTGCAGGTTTTCTAAGAAGCTCACTTGCCGAGGCAAACCGTGATGGGATGAAGTGGATAAACACTACTCCACCTGGCTGTCAACACTGATTTGGACTTGCTAACAGGTAGGTCTTCTGAGTAGGTCTCTAACTGGCAGCATTCCTAGCATGCACTGAAAAGGGAGTTTTAGCCGCCGTGAAAGATGGTGCCTACCGAGGGGAGAGCATGAAGCCATGTCTGCATGATGTTGAACACACAGCTGCCAGTTCTGCCCGGCAGGATCTAGCAGAGCTGGCCAATGGCCCTGCTTAGGCCAAACGCTGTCATGTGACAGACTTGGGCAGAGGCGTGCAGAGGAATCAGCCCTAGGGGCGGCGGCAAGTCGTGACTTGCAGCGTTTGCTGATTTCCATGGTGCAAATATTCTGGTTCAATTTCAAGCTACCAATGGTTGAACAACCAGGTCGCAAAATTCTCAACATGTAACAAGAGCTGGCAGGAGTGGACTCCAACACACCAGGGCAATGGCTGTCTGGCTGTTTTGGGGTCACTCCCCATCCCGAGCTCTAGCTCTGACAATGTACGTCTTGCGGGGGGGCGGGGGGCACTGCAAGATCTGTCTTAGTCATTGCTACCTGCTCAGCGCCAAGCACAGGGCCTGGCATAGATCAGGAGCTCAATAACTATCTTATTGACTAAATCAATGTGGGAAACTGTGTTGGGAGATCACTCCTGAAACCACCATTTGTTCAGCCTGACAGAAAACACCAATTAAGTGGGAAACGGTTTCTCATAAATCCCTTCCTGGTTTAAAGAAAGCATCAGTTCTACACTGGCCCATCTCCCATTGTGAGGCCCTAGAGGTCCAGAGATGGAACAGCGACCTTCTGAGCGGCCTGCTCACTTGGAGGGAGCCAAGGTTCCCGAAGGAGACTTGACTCGTAAGGCCACTTACCATGAAGGATCTGACCACGACGTCGGGCATCTGGGGCAGCTGATAGTGGAGCAGGGCAGTGGTGGCGTGGTCCGTCACCTGGAACCAAGGATAATGACTGGAGTTAGAGGCCAGTCCAAACCAGCACAGAGAAAACTAAACCAATGCATTCCCTTTCTATGATAAACCAATCTGCTTCTGAACGCCTCTTGGGGGAAAGGGCATCTAAAATAAAATCTCAAGTACGAAAATTAGTTAGCAAAGTTGGGGAGCAGGGGCAGGGGTAAAGGACTGTTGTAGGCAGAGAGGATGCCAAGTATTCAGGCCTGGAGGTAGGAGGAGTGGGTTCCAGCAACTGGAAACCCAGGCCAGGGGCGGCACCTGAGGGGAGGGGCATGGCCTGAGGCTGGCGGAGAGGGAAAGACCGGCAGACCAAAGACGTTTTTTAGCCAAGTCACCTCAGGATAACACCGCACGGATGCAAAGAAGCTTTTCCACCTGTCCACATTCGACTTCATCTTCACACTGGAACAATGTCCCTGGCAGGGGAACTGATCTTTCTGCTTCCTGTAATTCTCATTCTATCTCACAATTGGTAGTCGTACGAGATTTTATGATTCTGTCACCCAGGATCTGGTCATTTCTGATGATCTTTCCCTTGGGTCTCACAGTTCCTATTACCCTTCGGAGGAGCCTTGCCACTCCAAGTGTGATCTTCTCTTCCAAAGTTGTGGCCTATTTTCAGCATCCTGGTGGGCCACACCCACTGTCCCCAAACTCCAAGTAGAGGCTTTATCAGCAGGGCTGAGGGCACAACTGCTTTGGGCCTACTAGAGGCAACCGGTGCCCAGACAGAATGCACACTGGCCTTAAGCCCCCAACTACTTAATCTCTCTGGGTCTCAGTGTCTCTTCTGAAAAACAAAGGAGTAATCTAAGATCCCTTGTAGTTCTGAAATTTGACACCTCAAATTGCTAATGCCTGCCATCAATTAGCAAATTAATAGATGATACCTGATTTGACAGTTGTGTTCAAACTCATGGTTTAGCTGACTGTGTTTACTAGGGATTCTTGTCATTATAAATGTGGTTAAAAAGCAAAATGAAACAAACAAAACAAACCCAGGTAAAATGATCAGCTTTGAGCAGGAGTAAATATGGGTCTACCTGGTATAGACTTCCCCAGTTTCTAGCTGTCCCCACACACCATGTGATGCGCCAATGGACCTAAGCAGCAGGTGGGCGAAGCAGTCAGGTAGAAGGGACCTGGAGGGGCTGCTCCAGGCTCCACATGGTGAGTTGCAAACGATCCAGAAGTCAGTCTAGCTGTGTCCACACGCAAGGTCAGAGAGGCCACACCCCCAAAGAGTGAGGACACAGGCTCCGTAGCTTACAGAACCTGAGCCTCACTTTCCCTAAATAAATGGCTGTGCATGTGAAGCACCTTCCTCCCAGCCAGGCTGCAGCCCTGCCTGTCTCCTCTCCCTTCTGCTCCTCTCGCCTCTGGACGAGCACTCTTTCCCTGCTGGACTTCTGTGGCCTGCCTGGTGGCTGGTGAACCCATAAGATGATTAGCTCTGCCGGGACAGGGATCAGGCCCATCTCGTTCATGCTACGTCCCCAAGGCCTAGAACATCACCCGGCATTTAGCAGGTGCTCAATACATATCTGCTGAATCAAGAAATAAACTTAAAAATGCCCACTCACTAAAGGCCACATACCAGGAACATCTGCACCGGCCTTCTTGAAAACACAGCTACAGGTCGCATATCCAACATTGCTGAGAAATTGTTACCCAAGTGACTTTCAAGATAAGTGGTACTTATCCTTTCAAGTGCAGACTGTTTTTATTTTAAGCATTTCTGACAGACAGCTTTCTAAAATGAGCAACGCTTTTTTTTTAAACAGTAGTAATGATAACTTGGCAAGACGGTGGGTGGTGATCGGTGGGGTGAAATTATGGCTATAGAACACAGCAAAGCAAACTGGGCCCCACGGCCCCTGAGCTTGGAGGCTGCTTCCTGCCCACCCAGACCCCATGCTAAATAAAACCACCCGTGAAAGTGCCATTTCATGGGAAATTTATGAAAGAAAGAGTTTCTGGAGAATTCCTTCTCCAGCCCCTGCTACTTATTTTGCAATGCTTCTAACAAGCCCTGCTGCACATGAGTGCTGTCATAGTGGGGCAGCCAGGCTAGCTGCTTGCCGGTGGCCTGCTGTCCCCTGGCTGCGGGTGTGCTCCTTTCCCCAGATGTGGAGAGCTCACCACTAGTCCCAGGAGGCCCCTGGGACGGGCCTAGATCCGTCCACTTCAGCAGCCTGAGCACCTGTCCTGGGGCTGGATTCCCCCAGTCACGCTGGCCGCCCAGAGGCCATGGCCCAGGCTGGCCTGCTTTGTTTGGCTGCGTGTTTTCTTTGTAGAATTTTTAATAGGAAGCATTTTATATGACCAACATATAAAAGTCAGCAGGAAACTGAAAGTTAACCGAGGTGGGTGTACTCTCCTTTTCATTTTATAGAAGAGGAGATGGAGACTTCCAGAGGTTGGGCCGGTGGCTAGGTCACACAGCTGGGGAGGGGTAGCGGGTGTTTGAGCCCAGAGGCTGCAAGGCCCAAGCCTGGGCCACCCCTCCCAACAGGAACCCCGGGCTGGCAACACAGGTTCTGAAAAAGGCCCCAGGGGCCCGGGTATCGTCTGCCTCGCGTCCCAGCCCAGTGAAGTCCTCGGCGCACCAGAGGCCCGATGAGAAGCCCAGGTCAGGAGATGTGCAATGTGGCTGCCGGACAGCTGGCCGCTTGAGAGCAGAACAACTGAATGAACCAGAAAATGTCCTCCAGGCCCTCCAGCTCCACCACAGTGCTGTTTTGGCCTCTGGCTCCCGGAGAGGGCAGCTAACTAGTTTCTCTATTAGTAGATTGGCAATCCGGCCAAATTTAGCCACTTTTTCACAAGGTCCAGTATAAACTACTCCCTTAACTTGCCAAACGGTGCCAGTTTTTTCTCGTGCTGATATGATCATTTAATTTCCCCACTTTTCCATCACTAATGACAGACATCTTAATAGAAGGAAACAAAGCTGACAGATTTGTTATATTTTCTCTCCCTTCCTCACAAACTCCGCCACTCCTGGTTCTGGGGCTCCTGCGGCCAAACTCCAAAGCACCAGGCTTAGGCATGGCTGTAGAGTGTGGGGAAAATTCACCTACGATAATCTTTCGTCTGTCAAAGCGTTCTACCTTTGCTGTTTTCTTATTTTACACTTTTCAGTAACAAAGGTGTTTTTTTGTTTTGTTTTTTTTTTTGCTCAGCATCTAAGATGTTGAAAAAAAACAGGCCCGAGGCAACAAAAACATTTTGCTATTAACTAATTTAAATCTACTCTGTGCCAGCCCAGCCGAGGCTCAGGCCCCAATGTAATGGCCCCACCGTAAGGTATAGCTCCTAAGATTCCACTGGCAGATCAGAGCCACGCTGCCTGGCGGGGGAGGCTAAGGAAGGACACTAATGCTCCCGGGAGGGGAGGCCATTCATCCCTCCAGTGAGTGAGTTAGGAAAGACTCTAAGAACAGATCAAAGCAGACCTAGAGCAAGGGAGGGAGGAGCAGACAAAGCAGACGAAGTAACAACAGACCAGCGAGACAGGGGACCCTGCAAAGAAGAGCAGAGGGCAAGTGACACCAGGTAAGTAGCGAGGGTGGGAGAGTTCAGGCACAGAGGGACAGGGCCACTCAGAAAGCAGTGGGCAGGGGCGCCTGGCAGGCTCAGTTGGTAGAGCGTGCAACTCTTGATCTTGGGGTCGTGAGTTCGAGCCCCACATTGGGGGCAGAGCTTACTTAAAAACAAACAAACAAAAAAAACAAAAGCAGTGAGTAGACAGCCACACAGGAGCTTTTCACCTCCAGGCAAGGAACACTGCCGATGCTCTGGCTCAGTCTGGGGTGCACTCCCCCTTCCAGCTCATGGCTGGAGGGTGACATTCCCATGGCCCATCACAGATCTGAGGGACTTCATCAGTCTCACTTTCAGCTTCCTCTTCCTCTTCTGCCAACCAGGGTTTACCGAAATTCTGTCCCCAGCTCAAACCGGCAGAGAAGGTCTTCATGCACCCAAACTGGCGGGGAACTAAGCTCTGAGGGAGAAAGGAATCTTTCAAGAGCCCTTGAAACAGCTGCCAGTCAACACACTGGTGAAGGAGATGCCAGTCAAAACAAGTCTCCCAAAGCTCCTCCACCATATTGTGTGCAAGGAGCTTCTGACGTCTTCAATCCGAGAGTGAGAGGGTGCTTGGGTGATCACGAGTTATGTTAGCCAAAGCCAAAGCCGAGCTGCCTGCGGTAAGAGCTGAAGCCCTGCATGAGGTGGTCTACACCACAAGGCTTGGGAGGAGTCGGGGCTTGTCAGCCAGACGGTGTGGGTCTGAGCGCTGTCTGTTACTTACGAGCCACATGACCTTGGACAAGGATTCGATGTGCCAGTGCACGGAAAGCGCTTGAACGGCAGCACCCACCCCACTGTGGGTCTTCCGATCTTTCTCTCGCCTAATCCTCACGACCGCAGCGGGAGTGCACTGTGATGAGCCCATTTCCAAGAGAGAGAGGGATCACGGGAGGTTAAGTGACCGGCCCACTCAAGCAGCTCCAGAGCAGCACAGCAGGAGCCTGGGCCCGGACAGAGGCTGCACACCCAGGCCACCCCCTCCCCAGAAGGGCATGGCCCCCAGGACTCTTAGGGAGGCAGGACTCGGGGCTGGTTTCTTCACTTATGCCCCAGCTCTTGCCACTCACACAGCTCTCCCTCTGCCTCTTGCTCACTGTCACATCCCAGGCGCCCATCCCAACAGGGCCTGACACAGGTGGGCTCTCAAGAGGGTCTCTGGGTGGAGTCTCCCTGCCATGGAGAACGAAGGGGGAGACAGGGCAAACAAGAGCCGGCAGCCTTCGGTCAGGTGCACATATGTTAATTAAGGGAAACCCTAAGTACACTGCTTGAGAATAAAGGGGGGGGGTGCAAAAGAGAGGGGGAATCCTCCATTACATTTTGGCATGTCAAGTCCAAATTCTTTTTCCCACTGGCGGCCTCTGGCCAGCCGTGGGGTAGAG